TTGTCGTTTGCGCATCACTATAATTAATTGTTAATTTTGACCTTTTTTGTTAAGACAGTTGCGCATCGTTCGACTTTTGTGACTTTTATGTATAAATTTGCGCATCAATATAATTTAACAATATAGAAATGAAAAAAGTTGTACCCCCATGCAAGTGCAAGTTGTTTTCTAACCTTGGTCTTAAAATTCACTCACGTAACATTAAATGTATGTGAGTATAATGTGATATATATAATATAAACCAAGTAAAAATGTAGTTTTGTAGAAAATATATATTTTCGAGTTCTTGATGAATTTTGTCAAAATTTGAACTTTAAATGCTCATGTTTATTAATTATTAATTATTTTTAAGTTTAAAAATCTTAAATTATTTATTATCTATATAATATTGTAATACAATTTTTTATACCCTTCTATTGTAAAGAATATTAATGCGCATTTGATGTATGGTATTTTAGGTCAGATAAATTGCAGACTATGCGTAAATGATATATTGCGTGCTGAACTGCAAAAAAGTTGCATTATGGATAATTAAATTTTAATAATACCATTAATACCTATCCAATTATGTCCCTACCATCACACACACACACACACACACACATCATATATATATATTATATATTTTTCCTATATATGATACAGGTGTTAACTTTATTATTTTAATCCAATCTCATATTTACACATGGGCTATGGCGTACCTATTTGTTCCAAGCTATATGAGTCTCTACCCAGTACCCAGTACCCACTCATCCCACAAAATTCACTTTAGTAGTTTCCATACTTGAGTATAGGCATCAGCGCCATTGTAGGTACCCACAAATAATATTTTGAAATTAAAACAAAAAAACTTAAATCGTTATTGGTTACAGTATACAGTAAAACTACTTTTGTTTTACGTATGAACTCGCGTTATTCCTTAATTTGTTTAAGTTTTTCCTGTTTATTTTGAAAAGAACTAAAAATATTTTACCTTTGACCTCCAAAAATATCAACAAGATTAAATTTGCTATTATAAACTATTTTAGCTGTAAATTCAAACCCAAATGTTAGTAGTACAGTTTACCATTAACGTTAATCATTAGACATAATAATAGTTGTTATATCTCAAATATGGATTATAATATTATTGGTTATAGTGCAACATTTAAAAGCCAATAAATTATATATTAAATTAATATTATGCACTTTAATCAATTATTGTTTCATAAAATATGTAGGCAAATGATTACGGTTGTATTTAAATAATTTAATAATATTACACATTGCAGATATAATCCAACATTGACCTATGGACAAGCCAAAGATCCACCGAAACCAATTGTTCAACCCCATTTCATAATGTTTGATGGAAAATATCTCTCCTTCAATGGATTCACTCAACAGACTATCACAGAATCAGCTGTGGACACATTTAGAGTGCGTCGTGTTAAAATTACGTATTTTTTGGTTGACGATACTATTAGCGTCGTGGAACCAGTTGAAGAGGTTCGATTTTTTCTCGATTTTTATCTTACCTAATTGTTGGAGTTGTACTCTTGTTTTTAATGATGCTGATGTGGCCTAGTGGCCATGTGGGTATACAATTATTATTTATTTTACCTWCAGAACGCAGGTTATGTCCAAGGATGTCTGCTGAAACGCGGCCAGATACCGAATCCACACCGTAAGAACAGGACTTGGCATTGGTCCGATTTCAACAACGGCGTGGAACTCAGTTTTTATGGAGTTGTGTATAAATTATGCAATTGCAATTCCTTCACCAGACAGTTCTTATCGAGCCAGGGTGTGGAGGTGGATGTCGACATACCAGTGCCCGAAGACCCTTACATGAGCGCACGACGGCAAMAGTTATTTCAGCAGAAAAAACAAGAGTCAACAACATTTGCTTCAAAGCTTGGATTAGGCAGTCGGTCGATAGAAGACGACAAGCTCAAACAGTTTTTAGAGAATGACGGAAAAGTTCTCAGGTAGGTGCAATATAATATGCAGAACTAAATTTATTATATTATACAAAATTTATCAATTAACATCATAAATATACATAATACATCACATTACCGTCAGGGAGGGGGGGGCGAAATGCATGCATTGAAGAATGTGAAAATTATAATTTTTAAACTCAAMTATTTTCTAAATTGCCGGTTATGCTTGGTACCTATACTTTGGTCAGAATTCTAAAGATTGGTACAAGGCAATGTTTTATTTCCAATGGTACACAAACGCTTGTATATTCAATTATTTTTAATTGCTTGGTATATAAATAGGTACTAGGTATAAGTGTTTAACTTAAGGCTGATAGCTGTAGTAAAAAATTCTAAAATATTCTTAAGATTGATATAGCAGAGGT